GGCACTTCGTTTATGCGCTTCAGCAATAAAATGGATTTCAGTACTGTGGCTTTGGGTACACCGCTAGTGGAGGGGTACCAGTCCGTTATGTGGTCATCCGCCTTTACCCACCATCTCCCAATAAGGAAGTCACTGATCCACTGGTTCAGTGTGCTCCCCAGCTTGTGAAGCAAGATCTAATGGTTCACTTTATCGAAATCTTTACTGAAATCAATGCAGATGACATCCACTGACTTTCTTCGATTCAGCGCTTGCAAATGTTCCTGTCGCATCAGTGGCTGGTTGGTGGTGCACGAGCGGCTCTTCGTGAAACCGTGCTGTGCCAGCGTTAGGAGGTCCTTCGACTCCAGCAGTTGGAGAAGACGCGTCTTCACAATCTTCTCGAGCACTTTACCAAAACAGATGAGACAAATCGGCCAGTAATTATCCACATTGCATGGTTAACCGCCTTTTGGAATCGGCTTCACTACCGAGCATTTCCAGTCCCGGGGCAATACACCCTCGGACAGCGATCTGTTGGACAGATCCGTCAAGGCAAGCGAAATGATGACCGATAAGGACACTAAAATTAGTGCGTGAAATCCATCGGATCCCGCAGGTTTCGTGCCGTCAAGACTGGTGACATCTTTTACACCGCAATCCAGGCCCTCGAGTTCAATAGGGGATCGGTATAGGCGCATGCCCATTTTAACTACGGAAACGAAGTGCCCCGCCAATGCGGACGCACGTTCATTGCTGGAGGTCAGAGACTGTCTGTCAATGCCCTCTAACATAGCTACCTCACTTGCGGTCCTCAGGCGCCGTTTCGCGTAAGCAAAAATCTTCTTGGGGGCTGTCTTTGCTGCGGCTGCCAACTCGTCTTCATACTCATGACGCTTTCGCGCTCTTCTAGCTGTTGTATGAATTCCGCTGCCTTTTGTGCATCTCATAACCGTCGGCGGAACCAGACACGAAGAATTTATTCCTCACTACGCGTCACTGTCGAGCTAATTGACCATACTCTGTCGAACCGATGTAGCTTCACTGGTCCAGCTTTCCGATACTTAAGAGGTACGACACGAGTGTACAACGATTGCACACCCTCTTTTATAAAAGGCCAACAGGCTTCAACAGATGCATCCTGCGGCAGCGATCAGTCCACTTCACTGGCGACTCGATTGGGACCATCGAAGTCGATCTTCCAATAACTGTAGGATGTTCATAAAGATAAACAAAACACGAAGCTTTAAGCGAACAATTGTTTTCGATTAATTCTTCATCAGGCTCATACAGTAATATACATTAGGGTAAGGTCTGTTGCAATCGCCAGTAGAACAACGAAACAATTGATCAGAAAATTTAACTTGTGATCATGATGGCAGTCATCTGATCACATAAGTGCAGTCAGGTGGAGTTGCGGAGTACCATCATTTCCTTCCCGTCTGATGGTCGGACACGGAAATTGTAGTGTTTGTATCATCTTCTGGATACACAAGTCTGGGTTTGTCAGGCGTATGCATACTGCCGCAGCGGTGGCAAGTAGACTTGCTCATAAACAATGCTTATGCCTTGGTGGTATTCTGTAGAGAAACTGAAAGGATGTTTGTTTGTTTATCTGGTGGCCTGTGTTGATTAGATGGTTCGTAGTCGCGCTGTAATTTGTTCTGTTCTCGCGATTGTGAAGCCAACCTAGGAGGTGTTCCTTAATTCTCTTACCTAAATGCCTAGTCGTCCGTCCAATGTACGTGGCCGCGCACGGGCAGGTGAACCGGTAAATTAACATTGATTGGAGATGATCAGGCACTCGGTCTTTGAATCTCGGAACTAACAAAGGTCTTCTCGTGAAAACCACATTCAGCTGAGTCGCATTAAAGGTCTTTTTCAGCTTCGCTATAGTCGACGCGTGCATGCCTCAGCCGCACTATTTCCTTTGAATGTAAGAGTCAGGTAAAGCTGTTTCTTTTCAACGGTTTGTTTTGATACTTTTGGTATGCATCGCCTCATATGGGTCTCGATAAATCGCTCCGGATATCCATTTTCGAGAAGCGTTTCTTTGATTCGTACGAGTTCGGCTTCTATGGTGTCCAGGTAAGAGAATTAAGGAACATCTCCCAGGTTGGCTCTACAATCGCGAGAACAGAACATACTGCAGTGTGATTACGAACCATCTAATCAACACAGGCCACCAGATAAACAAACAAACATCCTTTCAGTTTCTCTACAGAATACCACCAAGGCATAAGCATTGTTTATGAGCAAGTCTACTTGCCACCGCTGCGGCAGTATGCATACGCCTGACAAACCCAGACTTGTGTATCCAGAAGATGATACAAACACTGCAATTTCCGTGTCCGACCATCAGACGGGAAGGAAATGATGGTACTCCGCAACTCCACCTGACTTCACTTATGTGATCAGATGACTGCCATCATGATCACAAGTTAAATTTTCTGATCAATTGTTTCGTTGTTCTACTGGCGATTGCAACAGACCTTACCCTAATGTATATTACTGTGTGAGTCTGACGAAGGATTAATCGAACACAATTGTTCGCTTAAAGCTTCGTGTTTTATTTATCTTTATGAACGACATAACAAATGGGCATTCTGCTTGAATTGTAGGACGGCTGCGGCGGACGCGAGTAGGGCAGCGGTAGCTCTAGGCTGGCTAACACCATTGCGTGGTCACTAACTGTCAAAGGCTCTAGGACCTGATTTTCATATGCACCTTGCTCGCAACTCGTTAGTAGTAGGCCCAGGCATAGCGGAGCGGAATGCAGTGTAACGCTCGTCGGTTGGCAAACATCTGCTGCTCCAGTTTCAAATATCGTCGCAAATTGCGCCCTGATTTCACTGTGTCCGGAAGAAGTTGAACCTCAGACCAGCGTATTCGAGGGAAATTAACATCGCTCATAAGCAGAAGTGGGGTCGATTCATGTGGTTTCTGACCTGCGGCAACCAGTTCAGGCATCGACTTCGTGGGCTTCGATAAGCCGCACCCACAAACCGTTTACTCCGTCTCAGGCAGCTCGAGCACCATAACTGTTCGCAAAGGCCAACCACTGCGGTATGTATGTACCGATCTCCTGCATTGGGAAGGGTGCATATATAAAAACACGCCGCCTCGATCCTTTGATTGTCTGTCACACCGGAAGCATGAGTAGCCACTGATGTGGACTTCCTGGGTAGTGGCTTCAGGATTTAACCAGGTTTCGGTCAGTTCCAGCACGTCCGGACAACGAGAAGCAACGAAGTGATATATATCATCACGTTTGTTCATGAAACCGCAAACATTTGTGAAGGCTACGCGCTTGCCGCGGTAGGAACCCACGGACACGCACGAAGCGTCATCGACCTGTTGATCCGGGTTCGGTGAACCCGGGGAACTACCCATAAAAGTTACAATGTGGAGATTGGTTTTTTCACTGTCAGTCAGCCCTCTTCAACTCTACCATAGCGGACTTCAGTTTCTCTGTGTCTGACCGATCCGAATCTGGACGAATCTGGATCTTTAGACCTCTTTGCCTACCGAGGCGGGATAGTATCAGCGTCGGACTTGCCTCATCAACAAAGGCTGGGACTTCCACTCTTCTCTCTTTCCAAGACAGGTGATTTGCTTCACCATCAACTTCTATTCATTCACATCGAGAAGTCTATAAATCAGGCTCTGTAGAAAATCCACCTCGCGTTAATACCGAGCTTGAGGATTAACCTCCTTTGACTCAGGCGCGTGAAATATCATAAGGTTATAACGCAGCTGATCGCTGGCAGTTATCCTGTCCTTTTTGCTTCGCTGCATTCTCCATTGGCCTTCATCGCCTGCATCATCGCACATCGGTATGTTAGTGTCTGTAGGATGCAACGCAGGCGGTGGCCCCAGCAACAATTGGACATCGCTCTGGAGAGCCTGCAGCCGGCGGGCAGGTGTGCTCGTTCGAACATATAGGTGGTTTGGTTTCCACTTGCTTGGATGAACCCATGGAGCTCCTCCCTATGGAATGTTTCGCCTGTTTCTTTATGTTCGCGCGGATTCTCGGCTGTTTGTGACTGCACTGCGGCTTGGCATTTCTTACATTTTACGCAGTAGTTTAAGATGATCTGAAAATAAATCAATGTACGAAATATGGTAATTCACACGACACATAAAGCATGTAACAGCATTGGCTTTAGGCACAACTATTTTGAAACAAGTGCCACAGGGAGTCTGCTTCGTCATTACGGAAAGCTTGGCAGATGTGACGGTAAAAGTGATAAATTAATGCAAATACCACAGTAAAATATATTTTGGTTTGTAATGTGCAACATTGTGTCTTATTTTTCCTACTCATGGTTAGTCACCCACTTGTAGGATACCTTAGTATTCGGTACTACAGATTGTACGATTTCAATGAAATGGTGACTCATCGCTACCCTCCGTCTTGTAATGCAACACCTATAGGTACTGGCTGTTGCATGCTCATTCGAACCCCCTTTACATTGCCTACGAGCGCCGGTTATTTGTCAGAAGCTTAATCTGATAAGGTTACAGATGCTACTTTACTTCTTTGCTCCTGAAGGGCTTCTTCCACTATTTGTCACACTTTTCTGTTGTACTCAACACATCCGACTGGGCGCTCAGGTAACATTTTATACGTCTTCTGTGCTTTCCAAACTTAACTCTTTTGCTGTCTTCTGTGTTCGTCATGTTTTCCACCCGAATTTAGGCCCACAAATCCCACGTTTCCTGTAACGGTCGGGGTACCAACATTCTACCCCAACAACCGACGTTCTGATCTAGGTGTTCAGGTATAACTGCTGACACTTTGACAGGTGTGGAAGGGCTAAAATAAACTCAATGCTTACACCGGTACATTTTTCTCCGACCGGCATTGTAATTTCCATCACCTCTTCAGTACGCTTATCCATTGAAACGGTGTCTTGTGGCATATTTTGCTCATCTTTTTCTGTCACACACTTTTTGTTTCTTTTTTGAGATGATATTTCAAGGACTTGTCTGTTCTTCCCTCCACACTCTGCGGCCAGTTCCATTTTCCCGATCCACCGCCCCTTAGCCCTCCTTTATTGGGTCTGCACAACGTGCTTTTCGCCTACCCTGGTCAGAAACCGCTGTTCCGTGATTTGAATTTTGGTGTCGATATGTCCTCCCGTATATCTATCGTCGGACCGAATGGTGTTGGCAAATCCACTTTCCTCAAGCTTCTCACCGGTGAAGTCGAACCGGTAAGTGCCATCTCGGAATCCATCCCACAGTGTTGTGACTTAGTTATTCCTCACTGCTGATCATGGGAATGTATTTGTATGTTATAGGTTCAGGGCGAACACCGTATCAGTCATCGTGTCAAAATCGGCAAGTATGACCAGCACTCGGCCGACCAGCTGGACTTGACTTTGTCCCCGACGGCGTACCTCCAAAAGTTGTTCAATTTGCCTTACCAGGTACAATGACAGATGGCTCACACTGTTACTCCATTTTTGCATTTATTTTTACTGTTGATTATCGTCATTCCGAAGAGTTGTGTTTTAAGTTTGAAACCGTTAGTAGTTTATCTAACTCGTGGTACTACTTGCCCTCAGTTACGTTACACTGGATTACTCTGAATTTTCACAGTTCATATATTATCCGGTTTACGTTTGTGTTTTAACCCAATCGGCGGCGGCGGTTGCTTCAGATTAGAGTAACTGCAACCTGAGCGGTGTTCATTTTCCCGAACACCTTATTTGAATTATTCGGACCTATTCACCCATGCTTATATTTCTTTTCTGTTTGTTTCAACCCTAACACACATCTCGTTGAGATATGCCTATGATAAGCTCTTGCACGTCACATCACTCTCCTATGTTAATCAAGTGGTACAGGGATCTGGTTCGTATACAACATCTAACCATTTTGTTTTGTTTCGCGGGTCACTTGTGATCCATTTGTCGGACCACAAGACCCCATTACTTATATTTACATCGGTATACTAACACTGACACATATTACTAGTTAGTGAACGATGATAAAGAGCACAGGATTAAGAAAGATCTTGAGTCAATACAGTGCAAAGAGAACATCCAAATTGTCGGGTGATTGCAATTCTAGCAAGACAGCGAGGATAAGAGCACCACCTACCAATTAACATCCTCACTTCTGCTGAAGTCACTTACTAAACATTTAATAACGAATCTTGGCGGACTTGGTACATACTACCCCTTTCTTCTTTCCTTGCTACCATGTCGCAGGACGCTAGGAGTACACTGGGCAAATTCGGTCTGGAAGCACATACACACCTTATTCCCATTGCGGATCTGTCTGGAGGTCAGCGGGCCCGTGTCGCCTTCGCCGAGCTATCTAGACGAGCTCCGGATATTTTGATCTTGGATGAGCCGACAAACAACTTAGACATTGAATCCATCGACGCTTTAGCTGTTGCAATTAACGAGTATAAAGGAGGTGAGAAATTATGTTTCTGCCATTTTTAACCCCGTTGTATGGAACCTTCCATTTAACTACAACGAGATTATACCACCATTTTCCACCATTAATGAGGAATGGCTTGAATTTCCTAGCCGGTCCACACACCCGTTTAGTTGTAGCGCCTCTGACAGTCTACTTACCTATGGGATTACTTTGTTTTTCCTGATCTCACCTGTGTCTGTAGATGTATCCATGAGTCACTCGAGGTTCAGATGTGCATCGCTGTAGTTCAACCGGCATTATAGTTTGGATTGGAAACAGTCACTGATTAATGCGAATAATAAGATGCTACTGGTATTTCACCGCCGGTGTTTGAGAGGTGCTCGTCAGGTTTCTTCGAATCATCGAACGAGTTTCGCTGCGGTATCCGCCAATTGATTCATTATCAAAGTTAGTCGACCATTCAGATTGACAGACAACCACACACAGCTTCAAAACACCAACAACTAGATTTATAAAAATCAGTCCAGAATTGTCTCCAATTTAACGTAACTGTTTAACACTTCAACTACGGCACCAAATTGTTCAGATCTATGGGCCAGATGCCTAGGATCTTCAACATAGTTTCCGTAAAAATGATCTCAGTAGGTTGGTATATGATGACGTGGGTTGTTCGGAGCTACTTGAAATAGCATCGAATTGGACTGACGCAAAACTCAAGGTGGACAGTCAGGAATCGGCCATCCGGAATTCGATTCATCTCACCTGAGTTCAAAGCGACTTACTCTGTGCCTACTTTGAGACATCACAAGACTAATCGCAATCAGCTATAGTGGTGTATTCGCCGTCGCCTGTTAATCGGACTGCCGGTGTAAAATGCACGCTTTATTAAGTTATCTATAAATACAGCTTGTTTATGTTACGGAATATTTAAAGGCCTAAGGACGTTGTACCTTTGTCACCTTAGGTATGCACGCTAACTAGCCCCTTGTGTACATGAGGTTCTGCGAAGGTTTATATGCTTTGCTTTTAACGTTTGCTTTAAACGTTTAGGTTTTACGTTTGACCTCCTACTTCCCAATCCTAATTATTGGACCCAGCTCTCAATGTGTGCTAACGGTGTACTGATGGAAACTCTGATGGCTAACTAACCGCGTCTGGATATTCGCTGAGAAAATACCAAGTGCCCCTCAACGCATAGTAAAAATTTAGCACCCGCCCTCAATAGTAGATCGTGCAGTTGATAACAATGATTGATGCTGCCGCGTAAATGTGTTACACGGGGTCTACTACTCCTGACATAGCTATTGATTTCCCACTCAACAAGTTGGCATGAAAACACCGCAGTTACAAACACTACTCATAATTTTGCCCCATCTTACAGATTTCGCCAATAAATGAACGCAATATCTGTACCTTCCAATCAAACCTTCCACGGAAACAGTCTCTTTTTGAAACGACGAATATAAATTTTTTCCTTTCTTTCTACCATAATATTTAAAATCCTCATGTTCCCCTGTATTCATTTTATGCCCAAACGCAAACAGAAACTTGGTAGTATTCCGTCCTTCGTGGATCTATGAGTGTGTCATACTTTCTTACCCATCTTTGTCTTATCTCCGTTGTACGCGAGTAGAGCAATAAGTTTCCGGATGCACAATAAGTTTTATATTTTTACAGCAAAATAGGCGTTACATTTTGTCCATGTACTCTCCACCAGCGTTCATGCACAGTTCCATGCGCTCAAACAATTTGGAGAAGCAAATAAGCCATGCCAAAGCGGGTAACCTTTCAAACAGTTCAATAATGGCCTCTACTGCAGCTTCTAGGGACTTGTAGTGGATTCCACGCATCATTTGGTTGACATTTAGAAACATAAAAACTTAAACGGAGCCAATTCTGGACTGTAGGGTGGGTGACCAATCTCCTGAGTGCGTTCTCTAGCCAGAAAATCTACGACAACATTGGACCTGTGTGCATGTGCGTTGCCAGGATGCATCAATGTCCCTCTTGCTCGAGTCCTTTAACGACATCTGGCTACAGCTTCCAGCACTTGTGGCGAACGATGGGTGGCATACTAGTCTCCAGTGACTGTGCGTTTCATTACGAGCGGTACCTTAGCCACATGACCGGTCTTGGCTACGAACACAAGCACTATCTGCTTGGCCACACTGCGCTGACACCTGGATTTCTGAGGGGGCACCCCACCAACGACCGTCCATTGAGCCGATCATTGCTTGGTCTCTGGGTCGAAACTGTACACCCAGGTCTTATCATCATTGAGGATCTCCCAAACAACATTAAAACGTTCACCATCAAACCTGGCAAGCATGGTGCGACACCAATTCCTCCGAACTGCTTTCTGGTCCTCACTGAGCGTATGGGGTACCCATCGTGCGCAAACCTTTCCGAGGGCGAGGTTCTCATAAAGAATGGTGAGGATTAATCCCGATCGTTTTCTCCAGCTGTACCACGGTCACCCGCGCGTCCTCCCTCAACATCGCTTGCCCAGCAGCAACGTTATTCGCGGTGGTGACTTCCACAGTTCAACCACACACTGCTTCCTCATCTACGGACGACCTGCCTCGCTTGAATTCCGCAAATCACTCAAACACGGTGGTTCTTGAAGGCCCATCATCATCAAACGCAGCACGCAATCTCTCAACACTGGCGCTGCTTTAAACCACGTATGTAGTCAGAAAATCATCGGCTAACTTCTATACTGACAGTCAGGGTATAGCGATCCTTATGAGTTGCACTGGGCTGCTGGTATAGGCTTCTGTGAGTTGAGATCACTGAACAGGTTCAGAATGGATTACAGCACATTTTTCTTGCATCTGATCTGTGTACTACCTATCCGGAAACTTATTGATCTGCCCTCGTACGCTAGCTCATGTTGCACTTTACTCCTTTAAACATTTAACATGTATCCATATCATTTTCTTTCACCTCGGCCGCTTGCTCCAACAGCATTTTCTTCCTCCTCTTTTCACACTACAGCTGAACAATCTATGCTGTTTTGTTTTTTCTGGAATCTTTCTGACCAATCCAATTACCCAACCGTGCGGGTCGGTTTAGCTTTATTCCGCTTGATTCTGTCCGTAAACGATCTCACTGCGGTCATAAGGTGCCATATTCTCGCGTCTCGTAGTTGTTGCATAACATCGAGCCTCTCCAGTCCACTCGCTTAGATAATCACGAGTAATTCACTTTTACACTTTGATTCCCACTACCTGTTTGTTGTCAGTGGCACACTATCAGTCAATCGTCGTTTCGCATTTCGGTTTTGAATTCCTTCATAACATTCATGTTCTCTCTGTGTGTCCCAATCTTTTCTTTCGTTCCTTTCCCATCACATCTTCCAACCACCCAGGTGTCGTCATTGTTAGTCACGATGAGCGACTAATTCGCGACACCAACTGCACATTGTGGGTTATTGAAGATTGCACAATCAACGAGATCGATGGCGACTTCGACGATTATCGTCGTGAAATTCTGCACTCGTTGGGTGAAGAACTGTTCAATCCAAGCAAGGTCGCAGCTGCCTCCGGTTGTCTTACCTGAGGTTACTTCTCTTTCTTTGTTCAGTACCACTCAGATTCTTTTCGTGTTCGATGCCAATATCTCATTTTTGTCCATCCTATTCCCTCTTATTTTCTCACAGCTTTCCTATACGTCAAATGATTTAGGGTTTTTCCACTACGATCTGTGTTTGCAGCTCCCTTACTATGTCAACACCGCCCCTCTTTCGAACAGTGTCACAGCCATCTGCTTCTCTGTCCTTCACCGAATAAGTGATCCTCCCTACCTACGACTTCATGACCTTCCGTTTATGTTGCTCGTGCTGAAAAAGATGAATTCTACTTGTTATAACTGCCTTTTCACACACACACACACACCTGATGTAGTGTCTCATGTGTACAATATCATATCCCGGATCCAATCCACTACCTCTGCCTTGGTTTTGGCATCCTAGCAGATCGCGGCCCTCCTGCAACAGTAAGCGGTTACACGGCAGCAAAGTATTATTACGAAATACTGGTTTACCGCTTTCACCTTTTTTGACCTTAAACACACACCCGACACATTCCATACAGTTCGCCTGCTCTGACTTCTGCGTTTTAGTGTAGGTCCGGTTTCCTTACTGGTTACGAATCCGTGTCATTGAGTTACACTATTCTTTTGGTATGCGTAAGCTGCTTTTCTGCCGAGGCTGTCGAGCTGACAATATTGGCGTGTTCCACCACAATAATAGATTAATATAAGCGTTTCGTTCTTCCGGTGCGTCATCACTCAGTCCTCTGAATTTCCGTTCGTCAACTGAAGTAATTGAGTTATTTTCCTATAGGCTTCTTGCTTGCAGGCCTGATTTTCTATGTTTGAAATAAAAGCGAAAATCGGTGGCATAGGTTGTTTTGGTGGTAGTCGAACTGTTCGCTGAGCGTGACAATTTTGTTGCAGACGTTTTGTCTCCAATAGTGGTGACATCGTTAGTGTGTTGCTGACTAGCGTGTATTTAGCTAGCTTAGCGTAGCGTACAGAAGCCTCAATGAGATTTCCCATGTTCACAGTTCTTCCTTCACCTTGTTTCGACCTTGAAAACGGTGTTCCTTGTCTCGCATGCATCGTTTTTTAAATTGTCTCTTCGGCTGAAGTTACGTCTTATGCTTTCTGTGCACTCTTACGCAGTTATCACCTTTGCGAGTTTGTTTCTACATGTGCAGTAAGCATGGTTGCCATACTTTGTGCACCAGGAGCATTTCAAATTTCCACGAACAATCCTCTATGTTAGACTATCGTTGCAATTCTTTTATATCTATCAAGAGCGATCCCCTTTACCTTAGTCTATAGTCTGCACAAATCCAGACGACTAATTTATTCACAAAAGCTTTTAGTGAGATTCTATGTTGTCAAACTGACCAGACAGCCGTCGACAGCCCGGGTAAGCTACAGATGTCTGTTGTGTCATAATTAGATTCATTCGTTACACGCACTCCTTTCGCATTTTGTTGGGTTCGAAATCATGCTCTCTTCTTACGAGACAAAAAGCCTGATCCGATCTGATATCAATGACAGCTACGATACTGAGTGGCTTGGAACGAAGCTAACCTACTTTCTACGTTACACCGTGAGCGGTTCAAACATACTTTTTTATAAAGCGTCATTTGAAAATCATAGGCACGTGACAGCAACGTCGCGCCACCGATTTACTGTGTTTAAAACGGTTTCACAACCCTTTACGGATCTCCGGTTCGACAGTCGAGACCTCGACGGTGCGCAGCCGACAGGGAAATGACAAACGAGGACCACTTCTCAACATCTGAACATATTTATCCTGACTGCTTACTAAGGTTACTCAGATTTTATTATGCGGTCTCCGTCGAATGTAGATTCTACAAGGATGAACGACTTATAGCAGTGTCAGAACCTTTCAATCGCATATCGCTTCGATATAAACTGCCCAAATGTGCCACCAAATATTCTATTTCGGCTCAATTAGACAACTCTAAAGGATTTGTATTGCCTGTGGCCGTGCGTTCGGTGAATGTGTCCGTTAACTTCATCTCCGGCTGCTTCTCTGGTCGGATTAAACACCCCCTATCACAGTCCTTTTTGCGCGTACTTCATTGGTATGGATACTGAGGTCTTATCAGACGAAGCGACCACGCAATTAGTTATGTGCCGTGTCTGACGATGCGACATAGATATCAACGAGTTAAATCCTAGGCTTAATTGAAGGCTCAATAGCTATTCGGTGGCGGACGAACTGAATTCGAGTGATGGTTGTTATCGAGTGGGAGATTGACTGCGGGGCGTGTTCAGCAGGTGTTTACATCCTGTTTTCGCTAGCTCGTCACTTGATTACGCGAACTATGAGGGTATCTACACTCATCCCTATCCTGCGTTTATAAATTTTTGGCCCCCATTACCCGGTAAGCATGTCAAAAGAGCTCATTTTATGATTTTTCTACAATATCGGCTGTCGGCACTTCTGTCTGCCCACGATTATTTGCTGTTCCACAAAAGTGACCAGCTATACACCTAGTCTCTTCTTGTGACCATACTTTTTTGCCACAATTATGTGCTTGATCGATCTGGCGAATAGGTGTGGTCATTTGGAGTCACCTGATCAACGCTGTCCTCTTCGGCCACATTTCGTAAGAGTTGTACAGAATTCGTTTATACTTCTCTAATACAGTATTCAGTTCACACACGTACAATCCTTGCTGTTCCTCTCTCCACTCCGCTAGTATCTTCTACTGTTAACCATCGGATCAAAACATACTTGACGCAATAATGCTTCTATTCTGGTTACGACCTCGAGGGCAGGTTGGTTAAAACGCCTTGAGGAAGCTGGATCAATCTTTCATTCTTAGACTTGGAATATTCTCACATATGGAGGCTGATATCACATCAGGTCGGGTACTGAGAGTAGTGACAGTGGAATGATTAACGGAGCCCTGCTTGCGGTTCTAAAAGACGGCAACAAACGATGTAAGTCAATAGTTCAAGGAAAAGGGAGGTGCAGTACACGAAGCGGTCGCGCAAGGCGACCAGTCGCGGCGCCCAGCAAAAGCCTTTGCTTGATTCGAACAAATAAATTCAGTATGCAATGCAATAGAATCACATATCAATCACTTTATTGTGCACTAAAGTGCTTATGGTTAGAATTTTACATATCGAATTCAGGCAAACCGAGGAAATCACCACAATGCTACATAACTGTCCACTAGGGGAAGCTATATAAAGAGTCCTTCGATTTACGTGAGGATTATCTGAGGATAATAATAAATACATGCATCTACCAGTTTTCGCCCTCTTTTCGCGCTATTCAAATTTCTGGAGTGTGCTATCTGCTTTAAAGTTACGTGTAGCTAGTCGAGTTCGGCATGAATGCGCCCAAATCCTCTTCAACTTCCGTGCTTGTGTAGTACACCAGCTTCGTCGATAGGCAAACACCTATAGTATTCCGGTCACTGGACAAAGTTAGGCTCAGCGTTCAAAGTAGTGTTACGTCACGTTAACCCCCGCTTCCTTCGATTTGCTGAGGCGGTCGCGATAAGCCGAACGAAACCAGCACTGTGCGTTCAAAACCAATTATTTTCTATCATAATTCTGCCATGGACGTAGGACCGAACACCTGACATTCATTCTGCACTTCAAGCTTGTCCAGTCACACCCAATATTAGCCACATCTCTGCATCTAAGTTATTGCTAATGATATTGAGGAGAAAATACAAAATGCAGACACCTATCAATGCTCGTTTTCTTTCTGCACTTCAGGTTCATGAACAGCCGGCAATTCACATATTTTGCGCTACCAAACTGTTAACTTTTCAAAAGTAGAAAACCCATGGATTGAACCGAATATTTCTTTTAGAACCATACAGATTTTGTATAATTGGAATAGTTATTGATTTTCGGCGATCTCACTGTGCAATCCGTTTTGAAATTCCTTCAGGCATTCTCGCCTGGCATTACAATATAATTTTATTTTATTCCTCCTACGATATTTGCACATAATTATTCCATCGCTTATCTGGACTACTTCCATTTTCTTAGGTGACTGACCGAATTTTCCGTGCTAATAAATACACCCATGTAAGGCGTATTGCCATAGACTCACTGGCATGCATTAAAGGTGTCAGAATCGATAGGGCCTTATGATGGAGAGGGCTGAATGACTTGAGTGCCCATACTGTATACATATAAGAAGAGTCATGCAGATTAGTTAAAATGTATGGTTTACTTGATTTTAAGTCACACGGTCTGATGGGACGTGGATGTGGTGGAGAAACCTTTCGTAGGATTACCATCCATGGAAACAGATCTTCTGGAGTCGATTTTATAAATGGCGGTATTACTTCACTTAAAATTTAGCTATACATGTACTTATTGTAATCGCTAACTGTTCGATCTCTCTGTTACAGTTCACTTATCAACCAGACCAAATATTCATTTGGGAACTGCCTTGAGCTTCTCGAACAGTTAACTGTTTTACACTATCTTGCTGCACGTATCGAATAGCGAATAGTGAATACTGTATTATAAGAGCAAGTAGAAATTGAAATAGGTATAACTTAATCGATACATAAGAAGCAACGTTAAAACACGTTACATTAATTGTCAACATTGATCGTTCTTCAAGCTCCTGAGTGATTTCGTAAAAAACTTATGCTCCAAAGTAATTGTTAGATATCATGGCGAGTGCGTAATCGTTCTTTAAATCTAACACCGAAAAAAGCACATCCAAGAACTTTTTCTACTGCTGCTCTGAGGTTTTCCCCTACATGCTCCGACAATTTGTTCTAAACACAGGCCACTGGACGTTCAATACAGACGGGTTGAAGCGCGCAATTCAATTTTGACATCACTAGCCGGTACGGTTGTCCGTTGTTACTGCATGGTGTTCGAAAGTGGAGCAGTCGCTTCAGTTTGAGGAAGTCACTTAGGTGCTGAAGTCGATTCGCATTCGGTGCGAAGACGTTGCGTACAGTACCAGTTTCTCACTTTTCTTCGTATGGCCAGACGCGTAAACTGGGGATGATCCTGATGGCTACGTGTTTGATCCATTCTCTCTTCTACGCATCACTTCGGGCGGTCGGACAATAGGCGCATGAGTCGTACTTAGCATTTCGTTTACGATGGAGGAGGAGAGATAAGTGATAACCTCTTCAGACCAAATGCAGTAGCTGTGTTTGGGCACCCAAGTCATGCATTTTCCGCTTCGGCATAGCCTGCACGTGTTGTACACGGACTTCAAATCACAGCGTCAGAGAATACCTAGGTCCTTCACGGAAGATATGGGATGCAGCAACTGGCGATCAAGGATGTGGATTAGACCGTCATCTCTCGCCTTTAGGATCATGAATACCGATGTGACGGGGTCGACCGCCACGTAGACTACTGTAGGCGTGGTCTTTCTGAAACAAACCGCAGTCGTCAGAATTGCTGATCACTCTCCACATCCTCAGATCGTCTGCAAACAGGGTACACGACTACCGGTGAAGCTGAGGCAGTTCACTGACATAGATCAAGAACACCATGGGCTACAACACCCTGCCTTTGGGTACGATACCAAATACAGCCTCAGAAATACTTTCAAATTCATA